TTCATTTGGATTAAACTGGGACAACCTTCTCGATTTGAACCCTGGATTAAAGGCATATAACAAAAGTAAGAAGCGACCTTCAGCATGCTATGGAAAAACAATTTCCAATAGGAGTGATCTTCCTTTTTCTTCTTCAAATTGTTCCTCTTATTCATTCCAGTTCGTTTCTTCTTAGATTTAAGCTATTCATTCAGATTATGCTCTGAAAGATGCTGCAAGCCCAAAGAGCCACTCATCCACCGAAATATAATCAGACCCATTTTGATCATTTGCGTGACAACAGCAGTAGTTACCCAGTAAAACAAAACTGGCTCGCTGTGAAGTCACTAACTAAGACCAATCCAACTACCCGAGTTTCGTAGTGAGGGAATGGGAAAATTCGTTCTACTCCGAAGTCTCAAAAGGATAATCATTTTTGCTCAACTAACACAGGCAGATTTTACTACTGGGAATTTGACAATTATCGCGGGTGAAGGGTATGAGGTCCTGGGCAGTTGGTCGTTACTTCACTAAGGCCGAAGTAGGCTAGAAACTAGAGAGTCATTTAGTCGTTTTGAATTCCTGACGGCCGTACGTGTGGTTCATTAGGCATCTGATTATATGGCTTGAAAAGGAAAAAAATTGAAAAATAAAATCAGTTGTCTCACGGAGGAACAATGGGAAACGCGAACAAAGAGAATTCTACTCCCCATAAAAGGCTCTCTCACGAGTTTAATATGTTCAGGGTTTAGTCGTTCGGATACCATTTGCCAAAAACTTTGCCATAGTCCATGTTTTTTTTTCTGGCATGTTCGAGTATGCGAGGCTAGGCCTAAATGGTGGTACTTAGTCTAAGCACTCTGCAACTTTGAAACTAAATCTGCGATGCACTAAACTTTGCCCCTACGTGCCCCTTAGAGCAAACCAAGCCGCCGGCGGACCTTGCTAGCATGCACCATTGCGTCTTCCAGGTGTTCCCCCTCTTCAAGCGCGTCCAGGTCTCTTTCCGCCTTCTTATTATACATGTAAAACGCTGCGTGATGTTTCTTTGAACCGCATTCCTTACATTTAGCGGTGCAGTACTCTTGCCCATGAATCGCTCCGCATTTGAAACAACTTCCTCTCTCTGCGTTGATCGTCATCCAATCCCTCAGGCTCGTGTCTCCCTACGGTCTGCGCCACCCATCGTGGGAGGAGCCTGGGGCGTCGCGACGATTGCCTCCCGCTATCTCGTTGCTGTATTTGCGATGCGGACTCTTGCGAAGGACTGCGTTGTCGCTGTGGTACACTAAACCGCTGAAACAGTGGAGTAAAGCGCTCTGGTGATTGTGAGCGTGGCTCTGCGGTGAGTGTGTGCGCGGTTGCTGCGACGGTGGTAACTGTTCTGGACATTTCCTTTGCTGCGGCGGTATCTGCGGCGGTGCCTGAGCGCTGCCTCTACGATGCTGCGGATGCTGCGTTTGCTGCAACTGCGATGCAAGTATTCGTGGTAGTTCACCAAGAACGATCCTCGCCTCTGCGATCGCTGCTGTGGCTGCTGCGGCCACCTCCTGCAAATCTGCATGTCCAATGTACGTCACAGTACGCCAACAAGACTATTAGCCACGGGGGCTGTTGCTGCCCCATGTAGTGTTGGATTTGAAATTGCGTTAAGAGGCAAACATTGCGGTGATCGATGTTGTGCACAAGGGTGTGGATGTGATCGATTTGCGTAAAGAGCATAGCTGCATCCGGAAAGCTTTGTTTTTGCGAAGCTTCTGCGAGATAGTCTACAAGTTCCTGCGTGAGGGTGCGAACACCCCTAAAATTCTGCACGATCTCAAAGACCGTAAAATATAGGTACCCCGCTTGCTCTTGCTGCGCCCAATCGGGCAGAATGATCTCCTTTGTGGAGCAGCTACGAATCATGCGATGGTAGTCTGAGCGCAGAAAGATCGATGACAACGCAGTCATGGGCTCCCAAGTATTCGTTCTTAAAGATAGTGCCAGGGTTCAGCGAGATTGTTAAGCGCTGAAGAAGAAAAACGAAGGCAGGCTTAATCTTCATAAGCACTGCAGCGAGCTGGGACTCATTGTTCTCACTTAGGCGCAATACGACGTCTGAGTTGTGCCTGCGTGATAGGGAAAGAAGGCGCTCCACAACGGTTGGTCTTCTTACAAAAGGTTTGAGCCACACTGGACGGCCCTTCGTATATGCGTCGCCTGTTACCCCTGTAGTGGTTCCGGCACCCTTATATTTGCGCGCGGCTCATCTGCTCTCGAGCGTGTGAGTTCCTGTCTCAATTACGTGTTCCCGTACTCCCTCGCTTGCACGCCTGACCTAAATGTTAGATCCTCCGCGGCTGTTCTTGCTCCTTGCGGCCGCGATCGTAAGTGCGGCTGTGACAGCAACGATAGCGACGGCGGATACGACTGAGACTTTCTCGACGACGATTGCTGAGCCTGTGATGCAGTTCGCTCTAGATGATAAAGTTTGCCTACACGAGAGACGTTTTCAGAAACTTTACTAGTTTTGGAGAGGTCAATCCCGATGTTCAAACAATCACCTCGAATTGTTTAATACGAGACTGCGATTAATGATGGTAATAGCGCGTTACGTACCACGACCGACAGATATAAATGTGTGTGCAAAGTAAATGTGCAAGGCAAACGCGGTAAAATGTCTGGGGAGAAATGTGAAAGGGAATGAAAATAGTACCGATGGTAGTATTTATTTGATGTGGTTCGTTAACAGTAATGAAGAAAGAGATAGAGAGGAGAAGATGAATAGAGGTGTGAATAAATATGAAATGTAGGAAAAGGTGATTAAACATGATAAATGAGTGCTTTCAGTAATATGAAACACAATAGCGCTGAAACTGCGCTTTTAAAGTGGAAAGATAAGACTTCCAATGAGTGCACTTCCTTCATAATGCAACGGCTTCGGCACAGTCTTATTTTTCTTATGTACGTATAGAACAGAGTCATACAAAAAGAGCTCTTCTCCCAACTTCTGCAAAACATTACCTGTTTCGTAGATTTATTTAGATGGGCTGTCACGAAGGGGCGACAGTGGCGTTAGCGTGAATCAACCTGGCTTAGATTATTTCTACATTCCTTGGTCGGATACTGCTTGAACTGAAACGGCATTGTCTCCTTTTATCCTGGTATAAACAAAGGATAAGTGAAGATTTGTCGCTGTTTGAAGTTAGAGCTCAAGTTCATGTCTTCCAAACTCCTCGTTTTTCTTTTTTTTTGGTAGCAATTTTTTCATGAATTTTGTTCTGACGATTTCGCTCTCCATGACTGTCATGTACCTTGAATTCGCGAAGATAATCAGTCGGTTTGAATTTTGAAATCAGCTCTCATTTCAGATCAATGATCCCTTGAACGAAGCCTACTCTCGCTGCGTTCAAAGGGGCTTGATCGAAGATAGCGCACGATTTTCATCAAATGCTGTAAACTTAGGCAGCCAACTACACATCCCGATTCAAAGCAGCATGTCGACCTTTCAAAAATCCATTACGATCTTTATATTTTTACTTACACTTTTCTGTACCCGGACGACGGGGCAGGAATCTGCGACAGATGGCGACATGGAGCTGATACTTGTACAAGCGGTAAGTAGTGAGAATCTATTCCTTAATTTTTTCAAATACAATCTTTTGTGTTCAAAGAGCTCTTAAAAGCATAGTTCACGATAAAAATGGCTCTTGAGATATCCCGCCAGGATGAGTTTATTGCCCCCTCGTAACATATATGGCGCTCCGAGGTCGGAAAACGGCCTAGATAGGGAGTTAGAAGGCCCGAAGATCCGTATGGACGAGTTTCAACGGCAGTGTAGGCCTGCCTCATTCATAAGGGAACCCGTACAGCCCATAGCGACAGTGGAAGGATATTCTGGGCAGTTTTGGCTTGATGGAGTCAACTATTTGCGCACTTGCAACAAATGAAATCTCTTCTAGGTACCATTCCTTGTCATTTCGGTCATAGTAATCTCGTACAATTTATTTTTTCACTAGTTTTAGAAACGTATTTTTTGCAAAGTCGGCGGATTTATTCATTTTCCTCCACTACCGATGCACTATTCCCAATCAATGCTTTCGCTTTGCGTCTTAAAATTATTAAAGTTATCAAAACTATCGTGAGCCGTTCTTAAAGGCACAGTACATGATAATTTTGGGTAGCCCAGAATATTATGAAAAATGGGAGGTAAGATAGAAAATGATGCGATGAGGGCGAAAGAACTCCGTGATCGGTGTTTCCAAAGTGGAAGAAGGCTTCGAAAAATCGTTAGCAAGGGGGCTGGATAGAATGAGAGTAGAAGAATGACGAAGAGTTGGGCGTTTGGAGAGCTATACAAAGTGGGTCATTGCGTATGTGTGGATCCTGACTAACTGGCTATACGTAAGCAAAGATTCATCCACCTATAAGCATAAGTAAACAAAAAACCCTAGTAACAATAATAATTGCTCACCTTTTTTAGCCTCCTGGGATAGGAAACTGAATAAGGCATCGCGGAATAATAACAGAGGAGAAAGGAATGGGAGAAAAACATCACCTCATCACTCGGCGAACAGCTGGTTGTGTGTGGGCCCCATACCGAATAATTGCGTTCTGTATCTCCTCGACACTCGCCTGACGTGTTGATCGAGGGGCGGAAAGGCCGCGCGAGCAGGGAACAGATCTTTCACTATGCCATGACCATCGATTTGGGCGCGAGAGGGCCCTTTCTATTAACCTTGGGACCACTGAGTGTTCCTAAGGGAAGAACTCAAGAAACCATTTTAATCGTGAACCGTGCCTTTAAACTAAACCGGTACATCCTGGTAACCTAACGGCAAGTATGGGCAGAAATGATTGCCTGTCTCACATGTCTAGAATCGAACGAACTTCTCTCGTAACATGCATATATGTGATATGAAAGAAGGATGGCGGGGCTGAGAAGGGAAGATCGGAGGAAACTGTGGTGGGGGAACGATGCATGGGGCGCCAACTGTTTCAAGAATAGGGTATGGCAAAAAAAGAATAAAACGAGATTCTTACGAGTAAGTGGTGATGATTTGCGTAGTGTTGCCGTATAGTAATTTTTCCTTGATACTCATGTACGAGGGTTTGAACAGCAGTTGTTGCCGTTTACCCACCTAGAACGGAAAATGCTTGAGCTAAAGAACCCTCAGAAATTGCTGAAAGGCTTAGGGCAGCATAGCGTTTAGTCAACTATTTCAGAAAATACTCTAAACTTGAGCCTATTTTCGTCGAATGGTAGAGAGTTTTCACAGGATTCAAGAAAGGCACGCAAAAAATTCCTTACGAGAGAAGTCACGTGTATTAACGAAAACTGTCGCCGCCTACATTTACTAAAGGCTTTCCACAAATAATCGACCTTATAACTGCTACTTCAGGTATGGCGTCACGGAGATCGATCGCCTACAAGAACCTTCCCGACGGATCCATTCCAGGAAAAGGACTGGACATTTGGTGGAGGAGGTTTCGGACAACTTTCGCCTGTAAGAAAATCATAAAGCAAAGATCATTTCCAAAAAAACTAAATTTTTACCATTATGAGACACTCTGGAATACTTATAGCTTCAGCAATCTTATATCCCTTCATGTATACGAACTGCCTTTTTTCGAATTTTTCGTTGATTTACTACACGACTAACTCGTGTGGAATTGAACGAGCAAAAGCAACTCAAAACAAAAAATCGACCGAAGAGCTAACTTAACCACACCAAATGAAGGGGGTAGAAAAAAAGCTATAATATAACGAAGAAGTGAAGTACAAGAGTAAAACAAGATGCAAGAGACAAAGGAGCTATCAATGCAAACGTTGGGTCATGAGCCTTTTGAAGTGTGCGAGTGATTTAGGCACTGGGCCTTGCTTGATAATTTTGTTGAACTCGATACCAGCACGGTGGCAGAAGAACCGGCTTCTATACCTAGAATTAGGTATAGGTATAGAAACCTTGGTATTGCCCCAACCATTACGCGAGTCACCAGTAGCGAAGAGCCTAGGCCTATCTACAGAGACCACACCGCAGGGAATCTCGTAGAGCATGAGTACATCAAATCGTCTTCTTCTACTTTCAAGGGTTTACAGACCTAAAAATTGGTTTTTCATAGAGCTTTCGGTAACTTTCGTATCCATGGACCCTTGCCATCAATTTCTTCTCTAAAGCCCTAATAAGAGATTTTTTCTGGAGACACTAAATAACAGTCCCATATTCCAATAGTGGACGAATGTATGTCTTGAATGAGTTGACAGACTTTACAAAAGAATGCCTTATGAAAATTGTATACCTTATTAGTAGCCTTGCTCACAACCATATTTATGTGTTCACCGAAAGTGAGACTGCGGCATATGAAGAAGCCAAGATCAGCGACTTTGTCCACAGTTTGCAAAACATTGCCATCAATGTCGTAAGAGCATAGACTCATCTGCGAAGGCGATAGAGTAAAAACTTTTGTTTTATCAACAGACAAAAGAAGCTCCCACGTTTTGGACCACTCTAACAATATCAATAGCTTTCCGAAGATTGGCAAGGTCAATGCCGATTTCGATAACCTTGCAAATTTTCAAATCGTCGCCAGAAACTTTACAGTCAACTCCTAAAGGCGTAATCAGAGAGCTCAATTCGAATGTATAAATGTTAAAAGGCAAGGGTGATAAGACTCCACTTTGGGGGACCCTGCTTGCAGCATTCTTGCTTGCGGAGAGGTGATCCTTGATACGCACTTGAAAAGTGCGATCAGTGCGTAACTCACTTAGCCATTTGAGAAGAGCACTCCGGATACCAACCCTTTCTAGTTTAAGAAGCAGCTTTTGTGCGGCTTTTTATCGAAGGCTTCATAAAGTCAAAATAAATAAATAAATATGAACCGGTTTATCGCCATCTAATCCCTTAATCCAGCCGTTGAGGCACTCAATTAGTTGTGTGACCGTGGATTTACCTTTGACCATGCTGATTAGGGCTAATCAAGTGGTATTTGTCAGGATGAGCTACATTGTTTTTCTTGTCTGTCACTGATATTTGTCAGGATTTTCTTGATTATTTTTTCAAATTCCCTTGCAATGATTGAGGTGATGCTTATAGGCCTGTAACTGCTTGGTATATCATAAGGAGATTTTTTAGGGATAGAAATGACATAGACATGCTTCCAAATGACAGGCACCTCACTTCTGATGAGTGACAAGTTCATGATAAACCTGAGAGGACTCAACTTGGGAGAATCAAAAATGAAGCTGATGGCGTAATGATCGCTAGTGCCTAGCCCACGAGTTGAATCAAGGATAATCGTTTGTACCCATGCCCTAGGATACCTAGTAGAGTAGAGCTCTCAAGGGCAGGTTCTGTGAGGGCCGCAATGTCAAAGCAACGTTCAGTTAGTTGAAATACCACAGAATCCACATTTTTCGGCAGGGATCGTATATTAGCCAGCAAAAATTCACAGCTGATGACCTGACGCCGAAGAATTGTTGAGTGTTTGAAAGAACAACAGGCGACACCACATCCATAGAATTATTCGATATATTGGAGACGGGCATTGGGCATGAAGAGGGGATATTGTCAAGCTAAACCTTAGAACCATTTACCGGTCTTCAAACTTTAAGAGCCTAGGTCGATAGACAGCATGCTTACCCATACGGTAAACAGAAACTGGGGTACATACTAGATGAAGATGATCAAATATCATTCTAACATAGTTTAAATCATAGACAATCATTCTAGAAGGAACAAGATCAAATGATTCAGGTACACCGATCAATAGCAAAGAACGAGAATCCACAACAAACAGAGTTAGAGACGGAATCATAATGGGAGGATGGCGAAGGATTTTGTGTGGAAGCGTTACCAGTGTCAATCAATGAATGAGATTGCTTAGGTTGAGGACGAGTCTGACGAAGCTTAGAATTCTCCTTACGTAGCTTATCCACCTCTTCAAGAAGTCCTTTGTTTTCACTAGCCAGATTATCCAGCTTCTCTTTTGTCCCGAGTAGATAATCAACAATTGTTTTTATATACGAAGGGACCGAATGATCACCTATCACCTGTTCCACTGTTCAGTGCACGTTGACGCTCAGCACCCTGGGGAGATCCCAAGTCCAGCAAACCTCGTTTACGTAATCTGAACATGTAAACAACAGAACGAATTCAACTCATGGATAAAAGATGATGAATAGACCTAGTGCGGTGCCAAAATGCAGAAAAATGACCGCTTCCTGCCGCTAGAAAGCTAACTTGTCGGCGAAAGAACGATGGAGTTGATCAAAACAATTAATCAAACGAAACGATCACACGAGCAAGAATGTACCTCGTAAGGTGGCAATTCGAACAAATAACGAAACTAATCCCCTGCCACTAGGGACACAGCTTCTGTCACGTCTCTTATTCGTTTATAGAAATCAGAAAATTCCGAAGAACTGAGTAGTGAGTAAACAAAAAAAACGACGCTCAGCAGAATTTTGGCGGGAATACCAGAGCGAGACTAACCGCCACAGCAGAAAGGCGAATTGCGAATATTCTTGCCAACCTGCTTCAAGATAATACTGAGCACGATTCGAATGTCATATATTTATCACATCCCTTAGGCTGGGTTCAGACAGTAAATTGTGAGATGATACAGAAAATGCTACGGATAGTTAATGTTTAGTAGCAAAATATGATTGCAAGTGGTAAAGTGTTATATGAGGCTTTGTGGTGGTCTTTAGTGGAGTTGTAATATGACTATAAGGCAGTATAAGCAGTAAGAAAGTGATATAATTAAAATGAAAACCAACGTCTCTCCATGGCCATTGTTAGAGTGCGAGTACGGATTACACATTTGGGTGATCCCGCCGACCCCCTATCCTTCAGAGACGTTTCCAACGTAGAATATCGTCTAAGTCTGTAGACGAAGAGGGATGGGAATCGATGAGTTCAAGGGCGACACCCGTTCGATCCCTCTGTCTTTTAGAGAGTTCCCTTCTTATGACTTCTTCCCAGACTGTGAGTAAAGAGGGATGGGGACCGCTGACTCAAAGGGCGACAAACCTAGAAGGATAAAGGCGGTGATGCATAACTCATTGTCTTAGGTCTGGCTGCTTAGCTTTCATGTGTAGGATGTAAAGACATCGTAAATTGATAGCCATAGGGAGTTAATATAAATGTAAAAACAGACGAGGGTTGATAAGAGGCGTTAGAAGACATCTATGACTAGTATTTGTTGCAATTTTTGTTGAGGTGATTGAAGGTTATGCCAGCGATACTGATAAGAAAAAGCCTCTCTTTTTGGAAAAGTAACATGTTGACGGAATTTTGGAATAGAAATGGCCTATACAGATGTTATGAGAAATAATAGCAATTGATAGGGCATCAAACAACATCATTTCCACATTATGGACCGTATTGACCTTTATTTATTTATACTATGAACCTAAACGAGTTTGGAGCGGAACGTTTGCCTACCTTGAAATTTAGAAAATTTGTCACGTCGAGGAGGAGAGAAGAGGTGCTCAAATGAATTCATCTTCAACGGATGATTTTCCAACGGTTCCATTTTTCAATGGTTCCCTCAAATAAGAGGTGAAGCTCCTCAGTGAAAAGATTTCGAGAGCCTAAACTGAGCTCCTAATTCTCCTTCTCAAGATGGAAGTTCTACCGGGTGTCCCGAAATTATTGGCGCCAAAATTCAGGAATTTTTAAGGTAGAAATAATATATCAAATTCACATAACCTGTTATTANTTAGTTGCATAAGAAGGTTCCCTCGCAATATGCATGGCTACTGATGTGGAACTCCCAATATCATTCAGATGGAGGAGGCTCATTCAATGCCACTGGCAATCATTGACACGCGAGAGGTGGAAGGGCATTACGAAATTCCTTGAGATTTTTATAAGAATATAGGAGGCTATTTAACGATATAGAAAAGAAGATTGAATCAGATACAATCGAAAAAAGGTAGAAAGGTAAAATGTTTTTGAATAGGACTATTAAAATGGTCCGTCTGCCAATCGGTCGGAATCCTGGGTGACCCATCAAAAAGAAGTCAACGGGCAGGCTCATCTGAGTTATCGCGGTGGAAGAATGTCATGCAGAAGTTCACTGCCATTCCTATCGTATGCAGAAATTTCGCTTCAATTACGATCTCAACAAACACTGCAGGGCCAAAATGTTCAGAAAGTCGCGGACCCACTTTAGTGATGACACGCAACCATTCGTTGTTTTCTCTGGCCAAATTTTTTTTTACGATAAAACCATCCCTCAACAACCAAAACGTTTGCGTTCCGGAAAGAAACTTCTAGCGCGTAATACACAAAAAGGTTGCTATCAGAACAGTACAATGATGTTTTTCGAGGAAATCACTGGCAAGGGTAAGCCGCTTATGGTTTCTTCGGTGCAGGCGTGAAAATTGAACAAGACCAGTACTCGAACAGCGTAACCAGTACTCAGACATGGAAATAATGAAGCACTGATCCGACTACGTCTCCTGAAACATCTCGTAGTCCTTCCGGCAGGACGCTACCGCTACTCCAGCCGACAGAGCCAAGCTTGCCCGCGAGTGGTGCCGGCGACGGCTGCCCGACTTCATTGGTGAAAAGGAATGGTCATTCTATTTTCCAGAACTTGGCTCACTCGACTCCCTCGAACGGTCTCTGATTGGGAGAGGACCTGTTGAGTTTGCAATCCCATTTGGAGTCCTAGAATGCGAAGGCTGAAGAATGGCTGGGAGAAATAGAGAAGGATACCTGCGTGCCACATGCGATCAAGTCGAGAGCAAACTTTGACTTCTATCCGCGCTCATGGGGGGTACTTTGAAATGCGGTTGTAGCATGTTGTGAAATGCGGTTGTAGCATGTTGTAGCACATGGTGTTAGCTAGCGTGCATTTTTTTCCATCGCCTTTCGCAGCTGAGAAGTTTCAAATATATTGCTATAAATCGGCGCCAATAATTTTGGGACACCCTGTATATAGATGTGTTTGTATAATGGAGGTACTTAAACTAGTCTTTGTACACATATTCACGGCCTTCGATAACTGTCCAAAACTATTCCTATATCTATCATTTGAAATTTCTGACGAAAAGTCGGTAAGGAATGGGCTGGGAGGAGAGTAGCTTGTTTCAATACTCAGAAATACCCAAGCAGACGGATAAGCTGCTAGGACATAGCTACATTACTGCGCACCAAAAGCCCTTCATGAATAGGAAAGTTTTCCAAAGAGGTCGATACTATANAGTAGACGGATAAGCTGCTAGGACATAGCTACATCACTGCACACCAAAAGCCCTTCATGAATAGGAAAGTTTTCTGAGGAGGTAGATACTATATACGTCTCATTAAATGATACAGGATCTCATTTTCACCTCCGATTCATCTTGAAATGTTTCAGATTGGAATGAAACAACACCTAAACTTCGGCAAGCTCCTCAGGAGGATCTATGTTGATGAGATGAGATTTTTGAGCAAGAAGTATTCTTCCAAGGAGGTTCGTCAACAGTTATTCCTAGACTGAGCGCAACTGGAAAAGACTTAGCGATGCATAATTCAGTTTTGGCCCCTTCAAGTTTCAGCTCAAACCTGCCTTAGACGTATATCGTGCTCGTGTTTGAAACATTTGCTAAACATGGCCTTTCTTAGAAACTGCATTGATCGAAAAGAAAATGTCTATTTAAAGCTCGGACTACTTCCAAAACCCAACTAAATGAACCTACTGGAAATGACTATCGTTTAAATTAAAGCAACATCGGCTTCTTCGATTCGTTTCCCTGCCAAATATGCATCGGCTACAACCACACAAACACGAGGAGGTCAGTAATTTAGGATCCATGGATAATTTCTCCCTAATATTCTGCTCAGGTAGTAGGAAAATTTAACCTGGATAAGAAATTGGAAAATATTGGGTTTCTGGCAAGACACGTCCGTGGTTCTGTTGATGATGGAGGAACGACTTACGGGGTAGGTAGTTTTATTGGCCAATCAGTACCTAGAACAAATCTGTGTTTCTAATCATCACTAAGGTTATGGACCACTACTGCCAGGGAACCCACGAATCTTCGGCTTCAATCGATCCACTGATCCTTTCTTCTCTTCCATGTTTCTCAGAGGTCAAATTATCTAATAAAAAACGGAAATTTCAAGCGTATGTCTTTTTGCAGATCCTGTTTTTTGTAGCTTTTGTGGTTGTCACACGTTTTCATCCAACATCATTATTCATCCTGAGGCACATCGCTGCTGCTTCTACCCATTCACGTGGGCTTCGTTACAATTTCAGTTGGGCTACGCACGCTAATGCGTGCACTCCATGCCCTCTACCGATTAAGTACAACTTGCTAGAGGACTAATATGGACAGTATTGGTTGACGTTCCATTTCATAACTGCTTCCTCACCGCGCTCACGTGATATTCACAATCTTCATCGTGCCTAGGTGACTTTCGGAAGGACGCACAAACGGGCATACAAACAGACACACAAAATTGTAGCTTTACATATAGGGAAAGTCGGAACGTCCGGCTAACGCCGGGCTTCCCTCCTTCTTATGATAGAGTTGTGATAGACGGCAAAAGCACACTCCTTCCTTGGAACGAATGATACTTTTCGGACACGAAGTTCGATAGAGGAACAATAGGGCATGCAAACCATATTCAAAATGTGCCGATGCCTATGCCTTTGATTAGAATCTGTCTGCCTTGAACTGTCCCTGTTGAAGTTAAATATAATGACCCATTGTAGACTTAACTGGTAGGCGTTCAAAGCCTTGAATGGGCTCATAAATGTTGTTGAGTCTTAATAATACATTATCGAATGTCTTTATGAATGTGGCTCCTTTCCTCACATCATTAAATAAGAATCCAAGATTGTTAGTGGTCGAATAACTTTTGTCATGAATGATATCAAAGCAGAGAGGAACCGGAATCCTTCATTGAATCGCAAACTTTGCTGGGGTAGCGGTCGTAAGCAAGAAGTGAACCAAATTTCATAATCGGTGCCTATTAGTGCACTCACCCTTCTTGTCTAATGATACATATCAAAGGATCAAAGCTAGATGGTAAATAACAAAGGCGCTAGGATTCAATTTGTAATTTCTGTACAATTGAACGAAGAAACAAACAATCAGACGCAAGCTCTTCGCATATGAAGAGCTGTCGTATGGAGTTTGTTTGAAATCCAAATCTGGAAAACCTTCGTCTGGCTACTGAAGTGTTATGAAGTGGATAGTTCTTTGGAATGCGCACAGCGAAAGCAAATTACACATTTAAAATTAGAAATCTCGGTTAGATTAGATTTCTGTGGACTTCTATGGATTTCCGATTAGGTTTCTATGGGAAATTACTCGTCTACGCTGATAATAGGGTAAATGCTGAATTTATTTTAGGCAAAATCCTCCATGAGCGAAAAGTTTTTTTTCCACGAAGCCTAACCTCTCTCCTCCCTCAGTTGGCTGCGAACGGATAGATAAATCTTCCATAGTATAGGGATGTAGCACGACGGTCAATAGCCAGGAGAACGTTTGGTGCATAAGAATTAGGTGATATTCCCAAATTTGAAAGATCTGATACCGCTTTGTGGGTATTGATCTCTTGACATTAATAGGTGATCGTGGAAACGTTTCTATTCTAACCTCCTCTAGTTCCCAAGGGTTTGATTGTCCTGCGTCGTAGGAGGCGAGTAGTGATTTTTAGTCTGTGTCGTCATAAATAGACTGGGTATCAATCGACGGACCAGTATTAAGAACATGGGATTTCTTTCCATTTCATAACTGTTTTCTGACCGCGCTCTTGTGATCCTCACGCTTTTGATCGTGCCTACGTGACTTTTGGGAGGACACACAAACGGGCATACAAACAGACACGCAATGTTAGCGCTTTATAAATATGGAGGATATATATAGAGGATAAGAATCATCAAGAATTGCGTCGTTCTTTAGATGTGCCTTATTCTTTGGATCTTTGAAAGTTTACCTTAAACACTGGGCTATACGAGGGTTGCCTTTTATATTTTGAGATTTGCCACGCTAGGGTAGCAATCTAGCCACTGACACCACTATCGTAAAGTTTGACTATTTTGAGGTTATGCTGCGAAATTTGAGCGCGATTTGTGTTGTTTACACTAAGTTATAAGAATTTTTTTGGCTCAGTTATGGAGTTGAGTCGTGAGCGTTTCCGCGCGATTATTTTCTACAACTTTCGACGTGGACTAACTCAGCAGCAATGCATGAATGAACTTAGTTCA